CAGTTATGAGTACATGAAACATTTATTATTTATTGTTTTATTTTCCATACAAGTGTAAGCCTACTTTTACACCATGCTGTATTTTGAATTTAGTGATGAAGCTAATAATACTCTCTCTTGATTTTTTGGGTGTTGGTTTAGAATTTAGAAATAAAAGCAGAGTTGACAGCACTTTGCTTCCCTCTCATGATTAGTGTGCAGTTGTGTTTCCCAATCTTACCTAATTTTAAAATTTACCTGGTGGTAGATGATAGCAGCTTAAAAAGACTCCCAGGTTGCAGCTTGGGAACTCCTGAATCAAAATTCATAAGGAAATGAGGATACTTGTCCTGGCAGGTATGGCTCAGTTGGTTGGTGCGTCATCCTATAAACTGAAAGGTCGCGGGCTCAATTCCCAGTCAGGGCACATTCCTGGGTTGTGGGTTTGATACCCGGTTGGGGTGTTTGCAAGAGGTAACCTATCAATGTTCCTCTCTCACATTGATGTTTATCTCCCTCCTTTCCCCTCTCTAAAATCAATAAGCATGTCCATGGGTGAGGATGGGAAAAAAAATTAATGTAGGCCAAAATAACAACATTTTAAAAGAACAGACCACAATAAACAAAAAAGGCAACATTGCCACACACAAGTGGAAAAATAACTGTTGCTGGAATGAATACCTGACATAATCTGTTAGCATTCCTGTATATTTTCTATTAAAAAAAATCAAAATGGACTTGAGGATGAATAAGATTCTAGAACCTGGCTAACAGTGATTAAAACTATAAACAATATTCAATGTGAAAGACTCTTTTTACAAACCACACATGTGTGCCTTTTCTTTCTGCCTTGAATTATATTAAATTTGTACTTTTAACAATATTCTTTCTTATAGTTAAGAGGTTATGCTGAATCTGTTTTTTTTTATTCTATGTGATTTCAGGATTCATTTGTGACACCATGGTTGTTCTAAAAACATCTCTTAGCATACTAAGTTTAAGCATATAGTTGGAGCATAGCAGATAGAAAATTATCTAAATAAAGTGTTTCCATTTAATGAATATGTTACTAACTACGGAGAAGAAGGTAAAAAGTGTCACTATCAAATTTAAAAGTATATTTTTACTTTTATTTTTTAAATTTTTATTTATTTTTTCTTAGAAAGAGGAGAAGGGAGGGAGAAAGAGAGGAGAGAAACATCAATGTGCAAGAGAAACATCGATTGGTTGCCTCTTGCACACCCCCAACTGGGGACCTGGCCCACAACCCAGGCATGTGCCCTGATCAGAATCAAACCTGTGACCTTTCAGTCTGCAGGAGGATGCCCAACCCACTGAGCCATACCAGCCAGGACTTAAAAGTATTTTTAAATGGAATACTTTTTCATAACTTTCAAATGGGTTCTGGGAAGTCTTTGAAATGTATACCTTATATAAGTATTATGCTAGTGCAGAATTCTTATTATGTATATCAACTTACCTTTCTCAGCACTTAAGTTTTGCTACAAAAATGACAATACAAATTGACCCTTAGCTGACCAAGGCTAGCATTCTTAGCTGCAGTAGATATATGATTCCCTGTTCTGCTCCTAAGTGACTGAGAGACAGCTGACTGTTGTACCTGGGGTTCCTTAAAATTTCAGAAGACATTCCCTGTTTTTTAACCCAGATCTACTAAATCAATATCTCCAGGGAAAAAGTAAACACACACAAACACACACACACACACACACACACACACACACACACACACACAAAATGATGTCTCTAACAAGCATTCCAATTAATTCGTAATCTCACTAATTTGGAAAACACTGCTTTAGCATAAGCTCACATTTATAATCTACCAGAGCAGCCTTTGAGAACAGAAGACATCTTTGTGGTCTATTTCTCTGCATAGCATCAGTGAGCAAAAATGTGGGCTAATGTGGTCCATTAGTAGCCTTAACAGAGCTAGGGTGAGGTAGCCTGATCAGCTTAGACACTGCATGTACGTCAACACTATTTGAATGTTAGGAAGGGGGGACGGAGGAAAGTTAAGGTTAAATGGGTGGATTTAGTGGATTTATATATTCCATATTTAATGTCCTTTCTAACAAAACTAAATTAAACTTACTATTTTAATCAACCAAATTAATCTTGTCAAGATAGATCACCTCTAACCCTGGCTGGTGTGGCTCAGTGGGTTGAGTGCCAGCCTGTGAACTGAAGGGCCATTGGTTCAACTCCCTGTCAGGCTACATGCCTGGGTTGCAGACCACGTCCCCAGTTTGAGGGTGTGCAAGAGGCAATGACCAATGTTTCTCTCCCACTCTTTCTCCCTTTCTTCCTCATTTTCCCCAACTGAAAATAAATAAATAAAATCTTAAAAAAAAGATAGGTCACCCCTAGATGACAGCATAATTTCAGAATCTGAATTGTGCTTTTAAAAAAATGTGATTCAGTTGCTAGTCATCTGCAGAATATATGTAGACTTTTATATAAATAAATATGAGGCCACATGCTTAACATCACCTGGGTAATGCTGATAAAAATCCAAGTATAGTAAATAATATGATGATGATGAATTCTGTATTTACAAAACTAAGAAAAAATTCATTAGCCCAGTTTGAGTACCTCTGAGGTATGTGCTAAGAGTCTTGAGAACCCACACACATTTAAACCTGTTGCCAGACAAGGTGTAAATAAGCAAACTAACATGGACTGTGTTGGAGAGCTGGGACAGAGATCTGGCCTGCCTCCATGCTCCCAGGGCCCAGGAGCCCCGAGGGAAGAAGGGTCAGGAATGGCCCTCAGGTGAGCCAGCTGCTGAACTGACTCTCCAGGCATGCAAGCACATGCACACACATGCATGCCCATACAGGCGCACACACACAAATGCTCTCTTTAAAATTTTTTTTATTGAATTAAAACTATGTACAGAAAAGTATGTAAGTCCTCAATGTATACAGCTTGATGAATTTACACAATCAACCCACCCATGTAACCATCATTCAGATCCAGAAGACACAGTGGAGCAAAAGAAGGTTTACAGTTGTGAGCGTGCGAAACAGGGTTTATTGTTGCATTATTTATTTTCCATAAGAACATCTGTAAACCTCCTCTTGCCTCAGGCTACATGCCTGGGTTATCAGTGCCTGAACCCCCTTCATATGCCCCATCAGTAGCCTTTCCTTCTCCAAGGGTAACCGCCACTGTTACTTCTAACACCTTAAGTTAGTTTTGACTGTTTTTGAGCATCAAATAAATTAAATTTCACAGCACATTTCTTTTACTTGACAGTATTTTTTTGTGTGTGAGGTTCTTCCATGTTGTCACCTATAGCAGTAATTGTTTCATTTTCCCTGCTGTATAGTATTTTCTTATGTGACTATGCCACAGTTAATTCCATTTTATTACTGATGGTTATTTGGGTTATTTCTAACATTATATCACTGCAAATTATGCTGCTCATAAATATCCTGCACTTGTTTTTTTTTAATGCATATGTGAATCAATTTCTATCAGGTATATCTCTACAAGGGAAATTGCTGGATCATAGGTTTTGCTTATATTCAACAAATTACAAATAGTTTTCCAAAATGGTTGTACCAGTTTTATTCACACCAGCAGTGTATCCTTACCCAAACTTGAAATTTTCTAGTATCACATTGGTATCCTGTTGTGATTTCAAGTTGCATTTTCCTGATTACTAATGAGGCAGACTATCTTTCCATGTTTATTGGTCATTTAAACATCCTTGTTTATGAAATATCTATTCAAGTTTCTTGCCCTTAAACTGATTCTGAGAAGGTGAGTAGACATTAGGTAGAGAAAGCAGGAGACAGGTCAGTCGACCAGAAGAAACAGCATGTGCAAATTAATGGTCTCTACAGAGCATGAGAGTAAATGGACAGATAGTGAGAAATCAGCTACTAAAGTGCTAACTTTAATCAGAGGCTATGGAGTGATGACAGCAATATCACACAGATCAAAGTAAAGTAACACCAAAAAAATACAGGCATTCCCATACTGTACTATTTAATGGATTCTGAGAAATGTTTGACAGTCAAATATCTGAAAGTTGAACAAAGCTCATATACTAGAAGGACAATTTTGTTTCCAATGAGCTAAAAGATAGTATTTGTAAGTCCCCAGTAATGATTATGACACAATTTCCCTCTGGCCTAGGTAACCAGGTGAGCAGACAAGCATCTCATGTTGATTCATGGGAAGCTACTGTTACCACATTGCACTTCACTTGTCCCTGGTTGCTCCAGGAGTTGAACAAACTGAGCCCGTGACATACATTATATGTGCCCACTTATGTTCCCCTTCCTTTCAGCCTGGCTGTCTGCATTCTTTAAACTACTCCCAAAAGCAGGGGTCTGCAACACCCGGCCATGCACCAGTACTAGTCCCATGACCTGTTAGGAACTGGGCTGCACAGTGGGTGAGTGGCAGGCCAGAGAGTGAAGCTTCATCCCACTCCCCATCGCTCACATCACCATCTGAGCTTGCCTCCCACAAAACTGGTCCCTAGTGCTAAAAAGTTTGGGGACCACTGCCCTAAAGCAGCCCTAAGTACTGGAGCAAAAGCGGAGGAGACCAAGGTCTGTGTTTACCCTGCAATGGCAGTGTGAGCTAAATGGAGCCTTGGGCCAACACCTCAGCATGTGCCCACCTGAGACTCCAGGACAGCTGCACCCCCTGGAGAGAGGTCACCTCAAATACCTTCTTGTTAAACACCCAGGTATTTTATGGAAGTCTGGCCTTTTCCCTCAACAATGATGTCAGGCAGTGCCACCATACAGTGGCACTGTAGCTTCATACAGCCACTCCCTAGAGCACAGGTGGCAAACACAAGGCCCACGGGCCAAGTCCAGCCCTCCACCTTGTTTTATCCAGCCCAGCACCTTGTTTCTACCTGACAGCAGCACCGAGCTCTCACTTAAGTTAAGGAATAGTTACATTTATACAGTCCTAAAATTACACCTGGCCCTTTGAAGGCAACTGCAAGGCTGATGTGACTCCTGGTGAAAATGAGTTTGACACCCCTGCCTTAGAGAATGAGTGGAAGACTGGATTCAGGATGTGAATGAATAGTGAGGGGGTGGGAGGGTGGAGGGTAAGTGGAGTCACTGTTTAAGGGGCAAAAATGTGGGCTCTGTAGAAGCAGTGGATTATCTTCAGGAAGAAGGGAATGTGAACGGAAATGCTTTGACCCACTTGCCTGTTCATTAGAGAGCAGCCCTAGTTTGTTGAGGGCGCTTATCTGTGCCGTCGCGCTTCTGTCACTGTGAGCAACAAAAGGGCACAGCTAGCTTCTGGCACAACCAGGCTCTTCACCCAACACCTCTGGCCCTAGAATCTCCACAAAATTTCTTGACAAAATATCCCCTTAACGACATAACGACCTTCCAGAGCCATCCACAGGTGGCCTACCATGAAGCTAGAGTAGTCTTGCAGCTTCCAGGAGCCAAGTTTCCATCCAGACGCCCAGAAACTGAAGTAATCAGATCTGGCCGGCATAAAGGAACTTTATTCTGGGTTGTTCCGAGAATCACAATTAGGTCCCAGCCTTTTGGATTTAATGGACTAGTAAATATTCAGAAAAGATTTCAGTGACCCGTATAAAGTTGTTGCCTCTTGTTTTCTCAAATAAAAACATGTAACTCGGGTTTCTGTGAAGTTGTGTTTAATAGTCATGTGTGTTACTTGTTATCTGCTACATGCAAGGCTGTGTGCTGGATCCTTTTCCAGAAATACCTCATTTGCTCTTCTTAATGTCTCTGTATGGTCTGTGCTGCCTTCCTATTACAGATGAGGAAAGAGGCTCAGAGAGGGGAAGTAAATTACCTGATGCTGCACAGCTAGTCAATGGCAGAGCCAGGTTTTGAACCCAGGTTTATCTGATTCCAAAGCCTATGTCTTTCCCACTCTACTGTTTATCACATCTAAAGTATGTGTAAATTATTCAGATGTGATTTTTAACCTTCTGGTGTTCTGATGAGATGATGAAATGGTCAGAAATTAAAATAGTTTTATCATTGTAGAGAGATTTGGGCTTCCAGGAAGTCTTAAGAGCCTTTCCTCCTCGTTTTTATCTGACTTCCTTCAATGTAGTCAATATTTCTCCAACTGGATATGAAAATCCCACAAACACTAAAGAGACTGTTTATATCTGACATTGTGATAGATACACATTTTGGTCCGAGATAGTGAGGAATATAACTTCTTTAAACCTATTCTGCTCAACTGTGATTTGGAATACATTGCTACAAAGTAAGGCTTATGAGAGCTTATTTCAATGTTCATGGCACCTTTAATGATTTGGCTGTTAAATAATTCCATGTGGGAAAGATTGCCTCACACAGTTAAACTTACTGACCATGTGAGTGGGAAAGAGAGCCCTACCCCATTTTTACTGTTTCACTGGAAAAAATGCAAAGGAGTAGGTTGTGTTAGGATTTGCGAAGATTATCAAGGTCTCTCTGTTAGGAGAAGTGCATTCCCTAGAATTTGTATGGTGAAAGCCTATCCCCCAACACTTGAGAATGTGACTGTATTTGGAGATGAGCCTTTAAGGAAGTAGTTAAGGTTAAAAGCAGCCACATGATAGAGCCCTAATCCAACCTGACTGGTGTGTTTATAAGAAGAGGGAGGTACACAGGGGTGTGAAGGGCAAAAAGGAAGGTGACCATCTGCAAGCCAACGAGGGAGGCTTCAGGAGAAACCAAACCTGCCCACACCTTGGTCCTGAACTTCTGGCCTCCCGATCTGTGGGACTTAAATTTCTGCTGTTTAAGCTACCCAGTTGGTGGTATTTTGTTATGGCAGTTCTAGGAACTAATACAAGAGGAATTAGAAATTGGGCACGAGCTGAGGCCCTCCCTCACCACTGATGTCTTGACAGCCTGTGAGGCATCAGTAGAAGAGGATGGATGTGCTTTTACTGTCCAGCAAAGATGGTTTGCAGTAGGGCTGAGGATCAGCTGGGGCGAAGGTTCTTCTGCGAGAAGGAAATAAGGTGTCCATTAAATAGTGGTTTATAATAGTCAAACTAGTAACAGCTATTAGGTATGTGTTCTCTACTCTTTGCTATATAATGTACCTCATAATAATAAGTTTATGATTACTTGTCCAATAATTACTCATTTCTTTCCTTAGTTAACTGTTAGTAGTTTATGAAATAATTTTATTGGCCAAAGTACTGGCTAACAGAGTGGGCTTCTGCCAGCTTGCCTGGGTTAGAATCTTGCCCCAGCCACTGCCTAGCTGTGTGACTTTGGGCAAATCATATAACCTCCTGTACCTTGGTTTCTTTATCTATGCAATGGAGAGATTAGTGCCTTTTTCATAGGGTTGCGCAAGAATTAAATGGGTTAATATATGTAAAGTTCTTAGAAGGATATAGTAAGTACCTAATAAATGTTAGCTCTTCTTATTTTAACTTGGTCCTGTTTCTACACATAGATAAGTGATAGCAGAAGCGCTGGATCTACGTGGTTTCACCGAGATATATGCCACCAGGTGCCACACTCCCCCCACCCCCCCCAAAATTGCCAGTATAGTGTTTAATGAGAATAAGCAACCTAAAGAACATTAGCTATTAAGTCTGTCATCCAGAGGATGACAAAAATATGGATTTCTGGGCCCTGTATCCCAACATTGATTCACTAAGTTGGGATGGAGCCCAGGAATCTGTCTTTTAAATAAGCACATTGGGTAATTCCGATACGGGGAATTCTTAGTACATCCATTAAAAAATACTAATCAAAAGGAATTCTTTTGTATTCAAAGCTATTAAATTATGGTAAATGTCATAACTTACTAATCATGAATTCCTATAATTTTCATTCTAAGGTATTTGAGATGTTTAAATAAAATTTAGGTCAATAATGAGGTGTAAGATTGCTTTTAAAAATCATCTAAAAGGCCCTGACTGGTGTGGCTTCATTGGTTGGGTGCCATTCCACAAAGTGGAAGGTGGCTGGCTCCATTCCTGGTCAGAGCACATGTCTGGGTCGGGGGGTCAGTGCCCAGATGGGGCACTTAAGAGAGTCAACCAATTGATGTTTTTGTCTCTCATCGATGTTTCTTTCCCTCTCCCTCCCTCTCACCTTCCCTTCCCCTCTCTCTAAAAATAATAAAATCTTTTTAAAATCATCTAAAAGATAATTTCCACAAGTATTAATAAGAGCTGCTGCTAAGCCTGAAGAAATTCTGTACTGGATGTAGTCCTCAATTTCTGTGTAGACAATCTCAAGTTGTGTCATTCAAGGTGAGGGTGAATTGCTCACTACTCCCCTCAGGGTTCTGGCTTGCCTGAGTAAATTGAGTTGAGGACAGATGGAGAGATACACAGTATAAAGAAGCAGTTTACAGAGAAGCGCAAAGAATGGTGGTGGTTTGGAGAAAATAGTCCATTTAGTCAGAAAGTAGAAGGCTAATGAGGCAAATTAATTGGAAAGCTTTGCATGTAGATGCTAAGAGCTATAAATGATTTTTTTTTACAGGGCTGGGACCCAGAGAAAGGTAAGGAGCTGAAGAAGTGCTGGGTTCTTACAGGACGAGGGCATAGCATGGCTGGAGAAGGCCTAGTCTCAAACTGACTCTGGGCAGCCAAGCAGGAATTTGACCAAGTATAATATTGTTGCTTAGTGTCAGAGTAAATAGTGATTAAGGTTGAACTCTGAGATTACTTTGGAACTGAAAACCCTGATTATTGTGTTACAACAAATTCCTAAAATCTGTGTATCAGTGTAACAGGGTGCAGAGTGGGAGTCCCCTGAAAATAAGAGAAACCCCCCCACAACCTTGACTAGAGGAAGGGGGAGGTGGATGATACAGTGGATAGGATACTTGGCATAACAATGGCAAGTCAATAGCTGTGCCTTGCTTGAAGGAAGAGGTCTGCCTCCCAAGGCCAAAGGTGTACATGACTCTGAGAGCATTTGGGGACTGGTGACGTGGGGTCGGGGGAGAGCTTATATAGCGCCTGCCCGAGAAGCAGGGGGCAGATGCCCACCTCAGAAGTCACTGGGAACTCTTGAATCCCTGATTCAAGTTGGTGTCCAAAAGAAGGCAGAAGATATAGGGGAACTGGCAAAAATGGCACATTATAGGAGGGGCCAGTTATGAGGTCACGTAGGAAGTTCTAGTCCAAGCATTTAAAATGAGGATGGGCTGAAAGAGAAGGGGTCTGTTCTGCCATGAGGTCCAGTGTGTAAGGGAGAGAGTCCTCCACAAGGAGAAGCCGTGCTATCTGTAGTGAGAGAGGAACTTCTTCTGTGTCTCTGAAGGATGTAAGGAGAAGCCACGTTTATAGGACATGTGCTCTCCCTGGACTCACCATGATCCAGTGTAACATGGCACATGTTTTCCTGAACCACTGCAGGAAGCTGAGAACAAGGTACCCCAGATCCTGAAGGAGAGAGCTGCTGAAAGAGGTGAAACCCAGACTCTGAAACCCAGGTGCACATTCCGGAGGGGATGGAGATCTGTTTGTGGGACCAGCTTAAGAACAGATAAGGATATGGGCAACATCCAGGCGTGGTTTTGGTTTATAGCCTTTTGGGGAGCAAGGGAAGTGCCAGTTCTGGAGGGACAGCAGGGCTTGTAGCAGGAGGGCTCTCAGCCCCCACCCCCAGGTTGGAATCTGTCAATATAAACCTATTTCCTTCACCACTAATCATTGGGTCATGTGACAAAGTGCCACGTGACCAAGCCCCGGTGTGCTTGGTTGCACCAGGACTGCAGGTCAAAGCTGACATTTCTTCCCCAGTGGTCAAGCTGCTGGGTGAGAGAATGGGTGGGGTGGTTCCTGGAGTTTGTAGCTGTGTGAGTCACCCCCCTGAGTGTTCTCAGGGCACTGTACAAAGAGTTTCTTAGGTTACCCAATGGTGTTTCTTTTAGGAAAAAAATGAATTGGTTTTAACAAAGGTGAGTAAAATAGATAATGCTGATAGTGTTTATCTAGAAAACTTTCAAATTGGACTCCTTAAAATGTTCATGCTGCTTTTAAGATAAAAAGCTATTAAGGTAACTGTTAGCTCATTGATTCTTTTCCCTTTGCTTTGAATAATCTCAGAACAAAAATCAAAATTATTGAAGTCAGTGAATTTATACTCTTGGGACTGGTTTATTCTGTTTATATATATATATATATATATATATATATATATCACAGGTTGCTTTTCCATTTAACATTATAGCATTAACATATTTCCATATTAAATATTCTTCAAAAACATGAGTTTAATGACCACATAGTAGTCTATCTTATCTTACATTTCACCAATGTTTAAGATTATTTTCAATATTTTGCTATTGTAAATAATATTAATCCTTCTTGCACATAAATATTTTAATTCTGACTTTCTTAACAGAAATTAAGGCAGGACTGGGGTTTCTGGCTACAAAAGTAGTGACATCTCTAGGGCACCTGACACATTTTTCTCAAATCGCTCTCTGGAAATCCACTGGTGGGCACAGCCATTAGCAGAGGTTGGCAACAGCTTTCTACACCTTTTCTGAGAATGCAGGCTAGCTTCAAAACAGCCTTGTCTATTTAATAGAGAAAGAGGGTGTCTCATGGCTTTATTCCTTTCCTTTTATTACTGTTGAGGTTGGACGTATTTTGTCATGGCGATTGACCCATAATCTCAAGAAAATAGCATATTTTTATAGCAATTTGTTTCATTTAAACCAGCTACGACAATTCACAATTAACTTCATTGCATTGACTGCTTTATGTGGTACTATTTCTCAGCCTTGTAATATCTATTCAGGAACTTTTTAAAAAGAAGTTCAGTGTTTATTATGATAATTAAAGAACACGGGCTGCTGCTGAGACTATGTTCTTGTGTAAACCAGAAGTTACTTCACCTCCCTAAGCTCTAGTTTTCTTGACTTTAAGACAGGACTGATAATCTCCAACATGATTCTCACAATAATGAGAGAGCAATTATTAAAGCTTTTAAGAAAATGTAGCTACTATTGAAAAATGAGAACTGTTTCTCTCCTAATTACCCAATAGGCTATCAAGGTGTGATAGCATATCTCTTAGAAGCCAGAACTTCTCAAGTCCCAACAAATTGCATGTTTTACTTCACTTTATTACTTAAACCTTTTCTGACTAGAAGAGCAGCACAGACAGTGGGGCTTTTTTATGGGGCGGGGAAGGTGTCTGGGAGATTGCTTGGGTTGCAAGCCCAAGAGTTGCCTCAGTCTTGCGGAACACTACAGGGCTTATGGGTGCTTAGTATTTTAGGAAGTTGCCCCAGAACTCATAGGATAAATCCTCTCCAACTTCCCCCATGGGGTGAAAGGAAGACCACTCCTAAGCTTGTGTGATCATTCTAAGGTCATTACAAGAATTTGACTTTCCTTTTAACGTCATGCTTGTGTGTTCACCTGTCTGTCCAGGGATTTATAAGTATAAATGCCTAGAAGTCAATTCTTTGGCCTAATGGATTTTTGAGACTATAAATATTTTATTTTACATTTTAGATGATATCTGCTCTTCCACACTGAGGATGTGACTGTGATATACAGGGTGGAGCAAAAGTAGGTTCATAGTTGTGAGTGCATGAAACAGTTCATTCTTACATTGCTATTTATCAGTTATTGCACTGTTGTCCATTCAAACAGCTGGAAGCCCACTTCCACCTCACTCTATACGAGCAGTGCAGCCACACTGACCAGGCTGACAGACATCACTCTGAACTGCTTTCTCATTCGAATTCTTGTATTTTTCCAGCTGACAGCAGAGGGTAGGTGCTGATTCCACCCACAGCTGCCACTGAAAAGCAAGGTTCAGAAATGTCAGATATCCTCCGGGAGCTGCTCCACGTCTCTGAGAAAGCTGCCAACATTGCCCGGGCATGCAGGCAGCAGGAAGCTCTCTTCCAGCTGCTGATAGAAGAAAAGAAAGAAGGAGAAAAGAACAAGAAGTTCACAGTTGATTTCAAGACCCTGGCTGATGTACTGGTACAGGAAGTTATAAAACATAATATGGAGAACAAGGTAAGAAAAGGTCACAGCCAAGGTAATTACAAAATATTTGCCCTTGTGGCTTCTGTTCTCTGTTAGAATAGCATGTCTTTTCTTCCCCCCTCCCCTTTCAGAATACAAACACCTTGGATTCAAATAAACAAACAACTGTTCCCCACCCCCCCTTGTTTTGACTATAATACACTAAAATGCTCAATGCAGAAAAATTTAAAAATACAGAAAAGCAAATAATGAAATAAAAATCACTCAAGTCTAATAACTAGAAAGAAACATTTTAGAATAGAACTTTATATTAAGCTTCTTTTAAATAAATAGTACATATTCTATGGAATATCAGCAAATATAAGAATCCTCTTCATCTCACCACTAGAGAAAACTGCAGCTACATTTTGGTATATATTGTTAGAATGTTTTCCTTCTGTGTGCATGTGTGTGCACGGCACATATTTATTTCAGTAGTCATGACAACTATTAGTTATTTTATCACTGAAAGTTATTTCATAACTTTTAAAAAATGTTGATATGTTAAGTCCCATCTTTTTGACATATTCATGTATCTAATTGTTGCCTTGGTTGTGGACTTCTAGACTTAAACTCCCCCTTTATTTTGGTAGAAAAACATTGTTTATAGCTAACAATGATTGTGATTCTAGGTACCTTAAGCTGATTGGGGGAAACTGTATTCATAAATAGTAATAATAAATAATTATCAAAATAGACACTTATAAATGCTTAGTATTATCAGGCACTGTTCTAAAGGCTTATTTAACTTTTAACTCATAACAATTTTATGAAGAATAAAATGTTATATTAATTAATGAGTGGAAAAAGACTGGCACAGAGAGATTAAGCAACTTGCCTGAGGTTACACAGCAAGCAAATGGCAAGGCCAGTTTTGAACACAGGCCACAAAGGCCATTCTATATTGATGCAAAGGTACAGGGTCTGTACTCTTTGCAACACTAGATGGCCTTTTGTATGATCTACTAATTATATGTATATATTTTAGATTCAGGAGGATAGAACTTTATGACAGAAGGTATTATAAAATATTGGAATAGTATTCTGTCAAATTCTCAAAATATTAGGAATAATTTAAAATCATTTAAGTAAATACTTGACCACAGGCAAGAAGAAAGAATAAATGACCCTTTGAAATCTCTACCAACTATACTTTTTCATACTCTCTATTGTTTGGCTACAGTACACTAAATGAAGCAAGTTTCTTTTGATAGTGATCAAGAGAGTTGGTTGCAAGGGACTGTTGAGCAACTGGATTAGAAAGGCATCAACATTCATTTTTATGGGCTAATACTTGCCCCAGAGCACTATAACAAGTTCAGGTGATTGCTTATTGATGAGGTACATGGCAAGACTTATGAACAAACAGGTTATGTTCAGTTTTGGCTATATGAAATACCTTTGTTCATGACTGACATCTGGCACTTTGGAAACAGGCCTAGAAGCAGCCCTGGGAACTGAGCCTCGGGCCCTGTTGACTTGCGCTGTTCTTCAAAACTGAACAAATAACAAGGGGTTGCGAGCATTATTAAAGCTATTGGCCACCTGTGAATGACTGAGTTCAAATATTTAAAGCATTTCCTTCCTCTGTTCCCTGAGAACATCACACATACTATAATTCAGCACATATTTTGAGAAAAATTATCTTGACTGTAGAGAAAGTCAGAAGCAAAACATATCTGAATGCTTTCTGGTTATACAAAGATGAGAGAAGATTTTTTCATTCTATATTGATGCATACATTATTGCTCAGTAAAATATTTCCCTCTGCTTTTTTGCTACATCACCTTCCTACCCCGAAAGTGAATGATACTTCCAACAGGTGCAGAAAACACACCTGAAAACAAAAATGGAATGTTATTTGCTTATCCTTTCTGTCCAGTCTCAAGTAATAATTTTATGTATTTGATGAATAATATTAACCTGTGTAAGCCAGTAGGGTGCTATTTAAAAGGAACAATTAAAATATTTCCTTTGAAAACATTCTAACTCTATAGTCCTTAAGTAGATAGGAATTGCCAGAAATACGTCTGCAAACTCAACAGGACATAAGGAAACAAGACTTCTACCATGGTCTACCACGATTTGGACTTTTTGTAAGGGCAAAGGAGCAGGAAAATACTAGAAAACTAAGTACTGAACCAAGCTGATTTCATTTTTTTTATGCTTAGATTGATTTCTGCAATTGTAAATTTCTAAATTTCAGATCTAATTGTGCTATTTACAGTAATTTGAAATATAAAATGGAAATCTATTCAGAATTGAACATGTATATAGGTTTTATTTTTTTATTGTTATTGTTTTGTTTTGTTGTCATGCTCTGAATTATTCAGTTTCCAGGCTTGGAAAAAAAAATTTTTGGAGAAGAATCCAATGAGTTTACTAATGATCTGGGTAAGTATACAAATCTTAATGTATTTTTGTATCTTAATTAACATTTTCTACTCTGATTTTCAATTTACATTATAAACTCAATGGATGTTTGGAAGCCTTTCATGTAAATGACAATATATTAATATTGGAATGTTAGACTTTATTCAGAATACCTCAGAATGGCCTCAGAATACCAGGTCATTTAACTTAGGGAAATGTGGTATCTTAGAGTTACTTAACAAAGCCACATGGATTATTTTAGATATAAATCTGTAGTATTTAAATAATGTACGACTTAACCTTTTGAAAACTTGCACAATCCTTTGGGAACCTAAGGGAAGCCAGATGCCCCAGAAAGATGGACATCTACACAACTGTGCAGACAGTGTTAGGTCCGAGGTTTGAACCTATCTGTGGCCCTGCTGGGGAGCCATGCACTTGGCTGAGAATGTAGAGGACACCTTGTTCCTAAATCCTGTGTGATCTTGACCAAATCACATCACTTCTCTCTGTTTGCAAACCTCTCGAAAGGGGGTTGGACTAAATAAAAATGTTCCTTTTAATACCGGGTTTTAAGCCTTATTTAATTAGTTTCCTGTGTGCCAGATTCTCCTTTGATGGACCTGCACGTTCCCTGTGGTATAGAGAAAAAAAATATCAAAATCACCATCTGATTCTTTTCAGAGAAATAAATTATTTTTAGTTTGAGCTTTTTGTTTGCTTAATGGTGGGAGATTAAAATAGTGAACTCTAAACACTTTCCTGTGACACAAAGTTAAACATCTAAGGGTACATTTACAAAGGAAAAACTAATTTTTGGATTAACTCTGGAAAAATTTTTGTCTCTGCATGGGCTATGTAAGATGCAATTAGTTCTATGACACACTGAAGGAAGGAAAATCCCATTTAAACTTCTGAAAGTTAAAAAACAAACCCATGACTAATCTATAACAAACCCTACACTTAAAATCCCATGTGTGACCACTTCATAAACAGCTACTGTATTTTAATATTTTACTTATCTAGAATTATAGGGGCAAAAAGGCATTCCACATCCATTTTCCTGAGAACTGAAGGAGATGATGGGCTTAGCATGTTGGAGGGGCTGACATGTGGAGAAGGGGGAGGACTATTGGGTGAGACAAGATAGATCATGGAAGGCTGTAGGAAAAAGTTTGGATTTTCTTCTAACATGATGCAAATTCACTAGAGAGTTTTAAGCAAAGGCGTGATGTGAGATGACTTGCTCCTCTGAATGATCCCAAGACTTTACTGAGCCCAGAGTAAAGGTTTAATAAGTGGCAGTGACCAGTATTATTATTCCTCAATTTTAATACTCAACTTTAATTTGAATTTAACAGGACTGAGTTTAAGTGAGTGATTCTGGCTGCTTCACTGTAACAGATTTATACGGTGCTTCCCAAACTTTAGTGATCATGTCAGTCACCTCAGGATTTTGTAGGTCTGCCATGAGGCCTGAAGTTCTAAATTTCTGTCTTATTTTTCAAAGAACTCTAAATTTTATTTTTCAGTTATAATTTACACTCAGTACCCTTCTACATTAGTGTCAGGTGTCAGGTTACAGGAGAAAGCACTTAGACAATCATGTGCTTCACCAAACGTCTCCCTGACACCCCAGTGCCCGCCTGGCACCATGCACGGCTGTGGACGTTATTATTCATTCCATTCCCTGCACAGCGTTTTACATCCCCGTGACTGTTTCATGCCCACCAACTTGTATGAAGTTCTTAATTTCCAGCAAGCTCCCAGGCTGTGTGGACGCTGCAAGTCCTTGGAATGCCTCGGGCCACTAGGAGTGTTTGTCTATATTCCTAAAAAGCCCCGAGGTGCCATGTTTCCTTAATATTTAAAGGTTTATGTTCTCCGTTGCTGTCATTTTTTGTTGCTATTAATTGGCTTATTTTTGCCAGCCTCTTTCCTCACTTTTGTCAGGAGCTGGAAACCACATTAACCAAGGGGCTAAGAAGCATGTTTAAAGTGATGGTAAAGCACCTGAACTTGGTAAATTGTGGTTTCACTCAGAGAAACAGCTGGGCTTACGTTCTGATTTCCAGTGTTTCACAGAGGAGAGCTATTCTATGTATGCCATTCAGAGCCATATAGTTTTACTACATTTAAAGATTAGTATACTTCATCTTAGTACTTTACTGAGCATAAACATTTTTCATTAAAAACAGCATCATAGAAGACGTAGAAGCATTCTGAAGTGCTGACAAAAGTACCATTCTTTGCAATAACATATTTAAGCACAACCAGGTAACCTATGTATATTACAAAGTCAAAAGGACTCAGGATTCAGGGGTTCTTAACTGGTCCATGAAGCCCCTTCAACTGCATACAAAATTGTACACATATGCCCCTGCAGGCATTTTTCTGGGGAGAAGGTTTAATTCCTGGAAGCCATCCCTCATTATTCACATTAAGTGCATGGGTGACCACTAGGCATCTATGACTTTATGACCCCCCACCCCAGTGTGACCCTGGCATTTAGCCAGGTTAGGAACCACTGATATGGATGGTTGCTCTCACTCAATCTAAGTGCACAGCGTTTGCAGCCCCCTGAACCCCATGTTTCTTTCTCCCCTGCAACTCTTGAAATTAATGACTTTTAGTTTGTCTCTATTCTAGGAGAAAAGATTATCTTGAGACTGTGTCCAACAGAGGAAGAAACAGTAGAGCTTCTTAGCAAGGTCCTAAATGGGAACAAGTCGGCATCTGAAGCGTTAGCCAAGGTTGTTCATCAGGATGTCACCCTCACTGACCCAGCTCTGGATTCAATAGAGATCACCATTCCACAGGACATTTTGGGAATTTGGGTGGATCCCATAGGTAAGTAGAGGATAGTGTGTTTGCTTTTATTCATTTGTTCTTATCAATAATCCTTTTGGGGTGGGGAGGCTTAGAAAAATAAAAATTGAATGTAGTTTAACTCTCCTAGAAGTTAAAGTAATTTTAAATGTTTAAAATGATAAATTAAGAGGTGTGATATTATGATGTGCTGTTATAAACAGATGTGTATCTGTAACATATAAATGACATGAGTGTTTGTGGCATCTATGCCACATACAAAGTTGAATGAACTCATCTTTCAAAGACTTCAGGGGCCAGGCTGCTAACTTTGAGAGAAGAATGACGAGACAGCAGCTGGACCTAACTGAGCACACGTGCCAATTAAAGAGCATGCAGCTTCAGCAGATATTTGCCACATGAGAGCACACACCAGATCTTCAGATTTTCAAAGAGAAACTAAAATTCAGGTTATTAAGTAACGTATCTCCATTTTTTTAAAGTGCTGCCTACTAATTCAATTAAACAAGCAATAAAAACCACTGTACAGGCCAAACAAAACACAGCTAAATAGGATTCGTGAGCAGTGGTTTGTAAGTCCTGTATAAACTTCGCCCATTACTTATTATTTTTGGTCATGATTGTGATAAAACCAAAATCTGTAGCTCATCATTTTAAAAGTGTAGGCCTCATCTCAAAGATGCTGTAAATACAATGCCCTAGGTATCAATTTTCAGAAGTTCCTTTGTTCCTTTCCCACCTGTCTGGCCTATTCCACCCAGCACAACTGGCACCATTCATTGCACTGTGCAGCAAACTTTTCCACACTCTCCACGCTACAAGCACCTTACACAGTGCTAGAGAAGGGCCTTCAATCATGCAGGAATTACACTGGGTTGGCCAAAAAGTCTGTCTAGTTTTTTTCTGTAAACTAAAAGACATTTTTCATTTTCAACAATAACAATTTATTTGGGTATTTTGATCATATCAGCTATCTCCTGCTATTGGCTTCTAGTGGGTAGAGGCCAGGGGTGCTGCTAAACCTCTTCCAATGCTTAAGACAGCCCCACAGCAAAGCATTATTTGGCCAAAATGTCAACAATACCAAGAAACTTCACAAACTACTTTTGACACGTTCGATCAGTCACAGCACCTTCTCCATACTCTGTACAAATCTTTTTTTGCATTTCCATTGTGTCTTTACATGTCTTGAAATAACACAGCATAATATGCCAAAAATGTTGTGTATCTTCTTCCATCTTAAATATTAAAATGGCACAAAAATTCACCAATTTTGTTTTTAAAACACACATTGATATGTCAGCTGTCACAATACAATCTAACAAAATTGTTTCAAATGAAGTTAAAGACAACTAAGTGCTAATACAGCCACCGTATGGAAAAGAAATGAACTTTTTGGCCAACCCACTAGAACATTCAGCCAATAGGTTACAAGTGAAGACTAAGACTCTTTCCCACATTTTTGATCACTTAAAGCATCAGCGTCAGTTAAGATTTCTGAGGACAGGGATCTCCCATTTCTTGGTTCTATCCTGAACTGACTCTGTGAGCTGGCCCTCTCGACCTTTGGCCCAGCACATCCTCTACTGGGCGTCACCTCACTCGATGCTGGCAGTCGCCTGCTGGCATGCACCATCTCTCGAAAGAAACCTAGCTCCTCAGCTTCTTTTTCACATGAGCCCCATATATTTCTTTTTTCCTTTTGTGCTACCACAATTGTTTCTTTCCTCCTAATTTGAGTGACAAAAAAAATGTAATTTCACCCCAGACAGATTCCTGTAAGGAGCCTTTTTCATCCACATTGGGCTTGTCCCATGATTAGCAAGAGCTCTAAAAAAATCTCACCAGTTGTCCTGAGCTATTAGCTTTTAAATGCCTTCAACATGATGAATATTTGAGTGCTTATTAGATACACGGTGCCATGCTAGATGCCACAGGAACCATAGACTCCCTTCGAGTTCCTTCTGTATAATCAGGAAAATCAAACACAAGTAGCTTAAAAGTGGAGTACAAGAGGTCAAATAACAAGTGACACCCAGAGGTAAAAAACAAATGGTGACTGTCTTAGTCCATTCGGGCTGCTATGACAAAATGCCATGGACTGGGTAGCCCATAAACAACAGAAATGTGTCCCTCACAGTTCTGGAGGCTGGAAGCCCGAGATCAGGGCGGCAGCATGGTTAGGGGAGCGCTGAGTTCCGGTTCACGTCCAGTACCTCGCCATGTCCGCACACAGTGGAAGGTGCTAGGGAACTCCCTGGAGCCTCCTGTATGGGCACTGATCCCAGTCATGAGGGTTCCACCTTCATGACTAAACACCACCAATAGCCCCACTTACTGATACCATCCCTTTTGGGGGTTAGAACTTGGGGGGGTGGGCACAAACATTCAGACCACAGCAGTTAGTAAATTAGAAGGAAATGGTATAGAGCAGAGTTTATAGATATATTCACTATTTTCTCAATAGTCGTTACCTGAATCCAAACAAATTTGCTTCATCTGCAGATTCGACTTACCAGTATATAAAGGGTTCTGCTGACACTGAATCCAACCACGGAATCTTCCCCAGTGGCCTTCAGTGTGTCACCATTCTAATTGGTGTCTACGACATACAGACAGGGGTGCCTCTGATGGGAGTCATCAACCAACCTTTCGTATCACGCGACCTAAACACCCTCAGGTAAAAGATGAACACTTTAGGAATGTGATGGTTTTTAGAATTCACCCTCAGCTTTGCTTCATGATTACCACTCCACGTGACATCCCTATGACTTGATATCTTGGGAGTGTTCCTACTAAAAGTTTGCGTGTTTGAGTTAAAGTTCTTTTATTTGGATTCATTTTATTGGCATAATTTTATTTGCGGCTAAGAGCATGCTGGTAGGAACTTTTAAAAGAAATAGTATCTTGGAGAAATCATTGTTTTGCTGGAATGTAGCAATCCTGTTCCCTGTGCCTAGAACCCATTCAAAACCAGAGTATTAGAGCAGTGGTAACAGTGTTCTAATACATTTGGGATAAGAAAACTGCTGTCACTACACAGCCAGTGGAACTTTTACACACTTTTAGAAGAAATTCAAAACAAAATGTGCAGATGTGCAGATTAGAACCCGACTGTTGGGTGCTGTCCTCATAAACGGCCAGCCTCCTCCCTCTTCGCCCTTCCGTGGACTCCTGTGCCGGGTGCGGAGGGCAGCCAGTTGCCTCCGATCCACTGCCTGTGCTTTGGGATTGACTCCAGGGGATGGCAGAGTCCAGGTGGAAGCAAGCAGCCCTTCTCCTGTGGTTTCAGAGTTTTCACTGACGTAGGTCTTACCATTCTATTTGTATGGGACTACGTAGTTTTTACTGAACTTTGAGCTACTTTAGGCAACTAAGAATTGTTTGTTCTTTAATAGTAATAAACTACACCTCTGGAATTTGACGTTTTTCCTCTTCCCCTGCCTTCTTTCAAACCGAAAATGTGTGTTATCTTTAAAAGGTCATTAAGAAATTAAAAAGAATTGGGACTGGATGCAGACAGAATCATGGCATAGAATTAGTTGATGAAATAGTGGCACAGATCCTGGAGTAATACTTAGATTCTTACATTCTCTAAGCCTCAGCTTCCTCCTCTGTAAATAGGGTAAGTTACTAAATATGCACAGTAAATCAAACATTGAGAAATGACAGGTGCCACTATTATATTTGTTGCCAAAGATTAGTCCATCTTTCTTAGTGTTAAAGCTGAAGTGGAGCTTGTGAATAAGACAATGAAAAGGAGTTACCAAGTAAAAAAAAAAAACTCATGAGGATTGTAAACAACTTGCAGATTGAAAAAACAGATTATCTACCTGTTCATCTTTTTTACCTAGGAAACTTTAAATGCCAAAGGTGGCAATGAAATTTTGCTGTGTTCCCAGAGGCCCAGAAATCCCACAAATATTTCAGCGTCACCTGGACTGATGTGATGGTGCTGTGACACTGAAAGCATTTCTAATCTGCAACTGCACAGACAGCTGCATGCAAAGTAACATTTAGAAATGCATTAGCTACTTGATATCAGTCTAGGCTTAAGGGCATTGAGATATGTTACATTAAATATTTTTTTCATATCATGAAGTTGGAAAGCAAAATGACTAATAAAAAATAAATGCGATAACCTACCTCCACAAACTGAAAGTTCTCTTCCACAGGTGGACAGGACAGTGCTACTGGGGCCTCTCTTACATGGGAACCAACATCCATTCACATCCACCTCCCATCTCTCAAAGAAACGGTGAACCTCGCCGGCAGCTGACTGAAAACAGCAGCTCTGAGGCTGAATTCTCTCACCATTTCTCAGCTGTCATTAGTACAAGTGAAAAGGCGGCCATCAAAGCTGCATTGTCTTGTGTATGTGGAGACCGCATATTCCGGGCAGCTGGGGCTGGTTACAAGAGCCTGTGTGTTGTCCAAGGCCTTGTGGACTTTTATATCTTTTCAGAAGATACCACGTTCAAGTGGGACTCTTGTGCTGCTCATGCCATACTCAGGGCCATGGGCGGGGGAATGGTAGACTTCAAAGAATGCTTGGGTAGAAATCTAGAAACAGGGCTTGATTTGCCGCAGCTGGTGTACCATGTGGAAAACGAAAATACTAGCGGAGTGGATCGCTGGGCCAACAGGGGAGGACTGATTGCATACAGATCACGCAAGCAGCTGGAGACATTCCTGAGCCTCTTCATCCAAAACCTTGCACCTGCAGATACACACACATAGATGAACCTTTTCCTCGCTATAATTATAAACCAAACTGTGAAACTGTCCTACATCTCTATTGTTTGAAGATAGCTTTGTCCTAGTGATGGTCAAAGTTCTCCTTCCTCTTTTGAGGAGCATTTTTCCATTATGTGTTCATAATAATGTTTATTTCAATAAATAAATGACATTCATGCAATAATAGATGTGTGAAATTCTTATAGTGAATATTGTGCTATCAGTGTTGCTTGAAACATTTCATTAACCTATCGAAGAAAGAGGAAGAAAACCTGCCTAGTTAGTAAAACTCCTCTACACATCTGTGATAAATAAAATGCTTCTGAAATAGGAAGAGTACAAGAGGGGGCTGTGCTTGTGTTTTGTTTCCTGTCTTTGAGGGAAGGTCTGCAGCTTCAGCCTTTGGCGGAACATTTAGAACTATGAATTTGATGCATCATTTAGCCAAGTTCATATACTTTCAACAGTATCCTTGTGTTTGCTACAGGAATTAAAGCAGGGAGCCTCCTGCTACCACCCCACTCTCACCACACACACATACTCACATACTCTCACACCCCCTTTCACACATATACGGTAATGCTCTTACACATACACACACACCTGTCCTCTCTAATTCTAACACTCTCCATGCACAATCTATCTTGGTAGTTAAAGATAGAAGGAGACAGAGTAGAGGTTTCTGCAATTTTTGCATAGGTACGACACTTCAAAAACCAGAAGTAGAGTCCCCTGAGGAATCCAGGTCTTGGGAGTTGCAAGTCCTCTCCCCACTCCTTGCCCACACACACACACACCCCGCAGCAGAGCACACAGTCCTGGACACAGTGGGAGAACAGCCTCGACTCACCCTGCCACACGCCGGATGACCCACGGCAGCCTTCTTTATGCTCACCTCAGGACAACACCCTTTTAGAAATGAATTAGCTACTTGGTATCTAAGATGACAAGCAATATTTTCTTAAGAAAAAACTGGAAATGGAGCTTGAGAAAAAACAAACAGGTCGAGTTAAATATATACAGTCTCTGCGTCTTCTAGCACCCCTTACTGAATGTCCTTGACCACTTCCTATTGTCTTCAGAAGCCCTGCTGGGAAGGAGGTAGTGCTGCCATCTAGAGGCGTCAAAGCTCAGCTCCGACTTCTTCCCACCCTGCGCCCTCTGGGGGCCAAAGTATATTCCTGCAGCATCTTCTTTTTTTGACCATTAAAAATTAATGAAAATAAGTCACACTCTCTCTAATAGTATTTTGTTGCATACATTAGATTTAATAATTTATTTAGTACCATTACAGTGGGAAGTACAACTGTGATATTATCTTTTCCCAGGACAAACAGTTTTATCAATTTACCATACTAATATATTATAAGCTAGGTCATGTGTGTGGCAGATTGGGGTGCCAGTAATGTTCTGTACCTCGATGGCAGATATACAGTGTGTTTACTTGGTAAAAATGCATTGAGCTATACACTTAAGTTTTGTATACTATGGGTGTGTTATACTTCAATTAAAACATTTACAATAAAAACAAGCCAGTGAATATACTTGATGAATGTGCATATTTGAACAGTTCCCTAATTATTTAATTAAGATAAATTCCTAGAAATAGAATTGCTAGATTAAAAATGGACATTTTAAACTTGGGGGGCCTTTTGGCAGAGGGTCCTCCAGAACAGGTGTGTCAATTGGTACCTCATCAACAGAGAATGAGAATGTTCAGTTCCCACATCCTTGCCAATGAAAGACAGCATCAGTATTTCAAATCTAGTAGATGAAAAAAGGTAGATCAGGTTGTTCTGCTCTTCTTTGGAAATAATTATATGCTGATGATTAGTTGGCCAATTCTAAGTAATTAGTGAGGCCTACTATGTTCCTTAAGCTGTAGTATTTTACTGTGAAAAGGGGATAAAAGTTTAAATATTTAAATTATAGAACCAATGACCAAATGTTGTAAATAAGCAAGTTTGAACTCAACACAAGAAGCTTCCGAAAGATTTGAGATGTCCAGGCACAGAGTGGACTGCATTCTACTTACCGTTCATCCTGCGGGCATTAGACAGGCAAGAAAAATCCAGATGACCCCTTTTCTGGGATTCTAGCCATGACGTCTAATTTTCATAATGAATCAGATGATTGATATTGGGTTTCTAAAAAATAATCAAAACAAATACACCATGCTTAAAACTTTTTTCTTTATATACCTTTTCACTTGAAGATCTCATCCATTTCTGCAACTTCGACTATAGGCTGATTCCCACATTTATAAAAGGAAAGATGGACAGGAGGAGAGAACAAAGGAAGGAATGGATTGGCTTAGGTACAAGCCCCAACCTCCTCTAAACTGCGGGCCTTTGTTTCCCATTGCCTGCTGGCCATTTCTGTCTCCACGTCTTTCCAGTCCGTGAAACTCAGCAGCTCCCACAGCAATGGGCTTTCCCATCCTGTCTGCCACCCACCCCACTCCAGTACACTCCTCTAGCATTCTTACTTTCTGATTCTAGAGCTTCTCTTCCGTATTCTTCCCTGAGGGAGAACTCTTCTTCCCCTGTCTCTCCCCATTTCAAGGCCTCCAACACCCTTTTATTTTTCAAATTTCCAACTCACCACTTTTAGGCAGACCTCTCCTGCTGCTGACCTGCTCTGGTATACACACAACCCATGTGGCTTTGAAGCGCTTGCAGAAGTTTTAAGAAAGCCGCGTGACTAGGGGTTAGCGTCTTAGCTCTGCCTCTGTGAGTGAGTGTGACTGTGAGGGGGCACTGCTCCCTGCTGCAGTCTCTTCATTAGCAGGAGAGTCACAGGTTTTCTTCCAGGCCAACACTGATAAACTGATTATTCCTAGCCGGGCCCTCATTTCCTTTATAACCCTCTGGGAGCTTTCTACTGGCTCCTAGGCTTTAGCTCGGCACTCGAGGCCTTCTTCCTGCCTCCCCACCTCCCCAAGGAAATGAAGAAAGAAAAGCAGATGAGACACTCCTTAGATTTTGAGATTGTTAGCACTGAGCTGATTTTTGCTGGGTTTCTCAGCCTTTTACCCTGAGCACGCAGTTTGGGAACTGGAAAAGCCTTGAAGGGAAATTGCACGCAGAGCACCAGGCTCACTTCTCTACAGGGCTCTTTCTTCTGGGATCTTCAGCCCTTACGTATTGGCTGCCCAAAGTCTCTAAACTCCGATTTCTGTCTCCCCAGTCCAGTGAGACAGCTGCAAACTGGAGCTCTCTCTGTCTCGCTGTAGGTCCCACAATGTGAGTTTGAAAATACCTTAAGCTAAGCAAAGAATTCTTAAACCACTAACCATAATGGAAAAATCATAATGGAGAAACTTCAAATAACTTCACATCAATGGACGAATGGACGAACTAAAATAAATTATTGTTTATATATAATGGTATTTATGCAATCAATAAAAGGAAGAGTTAGGTCTAGATGCATTATTATAAAAACATACTCATGGTATGCTGTATGGGTATAGTGTGTTGCTAAGTGAAACAAATAGTTTATAGAACAATGATCCAATTTGCAAATTAAAAAATATTTTTATAGTCTCTAAGTATAAACACCAAACTATTCATGGTAATTATGCCAAGGGGTAGGATTACAAAAGAATCTTCATTTTCTGCATCACCATACATTGTTTTCAAAACACAACAATTACTTTTATGTCTAGGGAAGCCAGTAAAATAAAGTTGATACAACAGTTCTTTAGAAAAACAGTAGCATTTGGGCTACAAGGTATAACGACGCTCTGGAATTTAAGTTTGATGAGAGTGAGACATTTTTATATGCGGTTGTGTTCCCCACACCTAGAACTGTGTGAGTCACAAAGTAAACACTCAGTAAATACTGGTTAAATGAATGAACATGCCCGAAAATATTTGACAAAATGTTAAGACACTGGAGCTAGTTTCAAAATTGATAGTTTCAATATCTAGTTATCTCCAAAGGAGTATATACCTAGTATTATGGAAAAATGTAAGGGGGATCACTTGAATATAGACATATACTTTTCCTCAAACAACACACATTCCTGAAATAGGTTTTAATGTCCTTATTTCTCTACTAAGACTACAAGTTCCCTAATATCGTGGCCTGTTCTGTCTGTGCTCTGTACCACTACATTTCAGTAAAGACTATACCAGAACTTTGAGTTCCTAATAAATATTAACTGAATAATTACTCATTTATTGATATTTCATTACTTACTTATTATCAGTGAAAAAAAATGATGACCTGGTATTTAAGGAGGTAAACTTTTTTCCTATTTTATTTTAGTAATATTAAATTTAATAGAGTCAAATTTTAATCTAGGTAAGTGAAGATGGAATTATGGCTCCTTTCATATTCTCTGTGTGCCATGTCATAACATTTTTAATGTAGGACACACAAGACAATAGTGATGTTAGGATCAAATTTTCAATAATACCAGCATAGGGACTTCCAGCAAGATGGAGGCATAGGTGGACACACCGTACCTCCACGCACAACCAAGATTAGAACAACAACAATTTAGAGGCAGATTAACACCTAGAACTGATAGAGAATTTATCTGAATGGAAGTCGGACAGCCAAGAAGTTGAAGTAGACCCGTTCATCCAGATGGTTAGGAAGGCGCAGCCGTGTGAGCGGAGAGCAGGGAGAACGGGGTACCCAAGGCAACCGGGGGCCCGTTAGCCATCTGGGCACGCAGGATCACAGTGGGTAGACCCTGAGTACGCAAGCGGTGGCTGGCGGACCCAGTGTGGCGGCGATTGTGGACTAGGGCAGAGCGCGCAACCCAGGATCCCAGGAGGGGTACTGAGGTGCCAGGAGAGCGGAGATACCTTCGCTCTCATTGTTCCCTCCTGCTCCCGCCCCCACCCCCACATACAACATCAAAATCTAGCAACTGGGGTGCCCAGCCCCAGTGAACACCCAAGGCTCCGCCCCTCACCGGAACAGGAGCAACCAGACCAAAAAAAAAAAGAGAGAGAGAGAGAGAGAGAAAGAGAGAGAGACATGTCTCAAATAGAAAAACAGAGTGATGCCCCAGGGCTCATTATTTTGAGCGACCAAGAGATAGCCAATCTATCAGATGCACAGTTCAAAACACTGGTGATCAGGAAGCCCACAGGATTGGTTGACTTTGGGCGCAAATTACATGAAAAAATGCAAGTTACCATAAAAGAGATGAAGGAAGATACATGG